AAGGCGAGTGGGTCCTTGGTGAGAGCAGTACCAGGCATGAACACAGGCCTGCCCTCCGCGTAGGCCGTGGCCCGTTTCCGGGGCGGGAGGGGAAGGGGAAAGGGGGGGGGGGGGACTTCGTGACCTCTTGCCATAAGGCAGGGCTGAGACTAATTATTACATGAAATATGTATGCGTGTCTCGAGGAATTCTATTTTCCTGCCAGGTCCTTCACACAAACACCGTCCGAGTAGCGGACCGTGCGGGTAGCAAAGATGCAAAACACCGAAAAAAAAGTGTGTGCGGGGGGTCTTTCTGTTTCCTGTGAACGGAGCAAAATGCGCACTGCGCTGCTAATAGTGCCCCGTGGGAGAGGCAAATAAGAGAAACGAGGACGAAAAAGGAGTAAGGGTTACGACCAGGCAGGCAACCCGGCTCTGGTTACATCAAAACACCCCCCCTCCCCCGGCGCCACGGCGCGCCACGGCAGCGCCACAGCCACCGGCGTACCGTACTCCCCCCCCCCCCCTTTCTCCCTCTGCAGCCAGATTTCTGCTGCAGAAAATGATAAGAAAAATGGCGTAGATACACCGCCTTTATTACACACCGAGCGAGACGACCTCGACAACGGCGCGGCAGTCGCGTACTTTACCTGTCGTATGCCCGTGTAAGCGGAACGGGGCCGAGAGCAGTGGGACGCGAGTGTGTGTGTGTGTGTGTGTGTGTGTGTGTGTGTGTGTGTGTGTGTGTGTGTGTGTTGTGTTGTGTGAAAGAGGAGGGTTAGAGCGAGGTGTACCAAAGAACATGTAGGAAAAACTCGCGAGCAGCGAGAATTGAACATTCGTACTGAAAGGTATCTTAATTTAAAGGCAGCTATTTTAACACCCTACTGACCGGATGAAATGGACCGAATGAAGACGTCTGACACAGAACCGCCCTGGTGGGCTACTTTCAACGGCAGCCGTCTGAGACGGGCGTCCTTCTCCCGGCCGGCATGGCCTCCTCGGCCGCCAAGTCATTCTAATGCGGAACTTTTGGCGGCTTTGAGATGCCGAGATGGACGGCATTGTTCTCCGTGAAAGTCCGTCACGTGACGGCCGTGACGGCGGGCGAAGAGCGAATCCCACTTGCACCACTTTGAAGTCCGCACAAAGGGCCGCCATCTTGGAAACTGTTTGGCCTGTCTGGCGTGTGCGCGGGTCAAGCCGACACAAAGGCGACATTACGCTGCGCCGCCGACAGAAATATGCGAATACGAGAAGAGAGGAACCACGATGCCACTCGCCAGCATTGTACTCGCGGAAGAAAGTTTGGAAATGTGAGGGAATCGACCCGAGGAAATGAAACCGTCATTAGGGGGCTATTCAGAAGTTGGAAAGAAACCGTGAAACTCCCAACGAAAGGCGGCACAAACAAGTGAAAAATTACTTTTCATTTTTTTTTCAGCTAGCCGTTATTTTTAAAAAAAACTGCGTATGAGTGTCAGAGCCTAAATATGGTTGGAAACCTCAAAGCAAAGCTCATGTTAAAAGGGAATTTTTGCTTTTTAATTTAACTAGTCCAATTGAATTTCATCATCTTAGAAGCTCGTCATTTAATTATTTATTTTCGCGAGTGTCTTGCCCGAACCGCAATTCTTAATGTCAACGGGGAATTCGTTTAGGGTCGCGTCACAAACATTGTTTGGTTCAGCGAGATTGGAGTCGGGCGATTGATGCGCTGCGATCGCCCTGTCTGTGTACCTTGGGAGAAAAATGTCGCTTTGTTTACTTTTAATTAAAACTGTCTGCTCATCCACTCAAACTCAGTGCTGGTCCTTTCCGTTGTAAAATGTCATGCAAATGGGTCGAGAGTCACGATCCGGGGGCTCGTCACAGGAAACGATTCTATTTGGCTGTATTTCGTTTTCGCAGGTACACAAGCAAGGCCCGGTGTGGATGTTTACTTGTCGAAACGAGAGCACATAGTGTGGCAACGTGGTAACTTCCTCCGGATCGGAATTGTTTGGGATTGCTGGGGCGACAATGAGGAGCAGTGCGAAATCACAGCGCCAATTAACTCAGCTCTGTCAAAACATTTGTCTTTGATGACACTCAAAAATTTTGTCGGACGGTTCGTGTAAGCCATCAGTCAATAATCAGTATGAAAAATCAACTCAAATGTCCCCGTTGGTCTCGGACCTATTTTCCAGAGAGTGCGCAAATCCTTGTTGCGAAAGCTATTTCCGGCGGAGGAGTTTATTCCGGAAAACAAGCGAGGTGGCAGTGACAATGCTGCGCCCTGCTGAGCCCTCCCTTTGGCGAGCAGCGGGCCGGGCCACGGCGGGCCACGCCGGGCCACGGCGGGGTGAGCGGCATAGATGACTTAATAGGATTGCCCGACTGAATTAATGTGGTCTCCCGGCGGCTGCTTGTTATGTACACCTATTTCAAACAATTACTTTCGGATGAATAAAGATGACGTCCGTCCTCCAGCGGAAAGGGGGAAAATTGGAGGCCTTTTCACCTTATGGCTTTGCGAGGAGGCTACTACAGGCCCCGAGTCCCCGAGTCCCAGCACGGCAAAAATTTCGTGCCGGTGAGTTTTCTTGTACAAATTCAGCCAGTTTTTCAAACACATTCCCAGAGCCCAGAGGACATTTTTAAACCCTGTGCTGACTCGCACGAAGCTGTGCTCTTCTTCCGAGGAAGAATAGGATCATCGCATCGACAGACTCACCCCTTTTTTGTTTTCGGGGCTTTACGGTGGACCCAATAAAGCGGAGAGACGCAGCTCGGCTTGCCGAAGCACGGGGCGCGTGTGGCTAGCAAGCTTAGCCGCCAGACCGTCTCAACCCTGGCGCGCATTCACACGACTCAAGGCATGCAAATTGGAGTCGGTTTAGGATTGAGCACCGTGAGAAGCCATCCAGGCTGCCAGCCAGCCCGCCCGGCGTGGCCTGGCGCAGCAAGCAGCGGTTGGCTTCTGGCGCGGCTTAAGCCCGATTGTGTCGATGGGAGGCGGCGAGGTCACGGAGGCCATGGGGGCTGCCGGGTGCTCACTTCGACTTTCCCGTGTCCATGACCCGTGGGGAAGCTCCGGCGGGCCGCCTAAGACCGGTCCAACGACTGCACTCGACAGCGGCAGCGTGTGTGCATATGTCTCGTGTATATACGTTTCAAAAAATGACCAAAAAGTGATTGAATCTCCGAAATAAGTCGGATTTGCTGACTTCGGGCAGCCAGTGTGTCTAATTTAGCTGAGGTCACAGGCCTTCCCCCATTCTTAAGACCCTTCTTTTTCTGGAAAAGGCTTTGACCTCAGGAAGTTTGGGACCAGTGGCTTCGCAAAAGTGGTCAAAACGTGATTAAAATCTGACTGAGAAAAGTTTATTTTGCTGAAATAACAAGTAATCCTTTCGGGCGTCTGTAGATCTCAAGACAGTCGGTCGAGTCGGGGCGGGCCTCGGCGCTTCCCTTCCCATTATCGCCGGAGTGTTTGGCATAAACACGATGTCGCTCGCGCTTGGCCTCGCGGCCCGGCACTCCGCTGATCGCCAAAGTTTGCAAAGAACACTGCAGCGCTGGCTGTCCACTCCTCATCGTGCTTCGCTCCGACAGTTAAACAGCAAACACCCGCCGCCCGATTATTCGGCGCAGGACGAATCTTGGCGCGGACGCTTTCGCATGCGAGAGGCCGAGCGGGGGAGAAAAATGTGAATTATGCATGAGGGGCGAAGGAGTGGATTCGGCGCGCTCATGGTTTTCACGAGAAATGATGTCGTCTGCTTGTCCTTGCGCCGTCCTGAGGACACCCCAGTCGATAAGTGGGACGCAACAAAGGGGCAGGAGTCCACCCCGCCGAAAAGGAAGGCAGAGACCGTCGGCTGCTGTGTCGTGTATCATTGTGTTTTTTAATGGATTTGTTTTAAACACGAATGCCGCTGCTTTTTTTTGCATAAAGACCAGGGGTGCCACGAAGTCTCCCCTAAAATATTCAAAATTCTGCATAAAAAGTGCGTGGTTTTTTTTTCGTCCTGTTCCCGGCCATTTCCTCTGCACGGTTGCAAAACGAACACTAATTGACACGAGTATCTGCTTTCCAGCGACACACACACTCACATCCACACACACACACACACTGGTACCATTCACTTTGCCACCGCCCCCGTCCGACGCCCCAAACAGAGGCGCGACCCACATTCACTCCCCCCCCTTTCCTTCCCCGCTGATAATGAAGAGAAATGTGAGACAGGTCCGTTTCGCGGTGCAGCGACCGACCCTCTCGCCTTATGAATGGCACGCCCCCCTCCCCCCTCCCCCGGGCAGGGCGCGGCCCTCGACAGGACGTTTCGCAGTCCGGGAATCGCCCATAAATATCCACGTTCGCAACGTTCGTTTTACAGCGTGGCACTGGTTTCACACCCCGCTCGCACCGATCAATTTTCGGCATCACTCGCCTGTCGCGCGTCAGTGAGCGCCCGCGGAGTCCAGCATAGGCAACCCGCTCGGCACGCGCGCGCCGAAGGCCGATCTCTCTCAGGCTGAGACCCCTTGCCGGATAAGAACGCCCCCTCCGCCAATAAGGGACTTGCAGCTCCCCGCGTTTTCCCCTGCATTTAAATATTCAGATATTAGGCCGCCTGCGCATATTTGCGTCGAAAAAAGGAAGAAGCGAACGGAGCCCTGCTCGGCGTCTCTCCGTATCGGCCTGCGAAGACACAGCGGGCAAGGAAGAAAGGCCGAGACAGAAAGGAGAAACGGAATCCGTATATCGAGGCCGGTTTACGCCGAGGCTTGTGGCAAGTGGAGAAGACTGCCGCAGGCGGCCAACTCAAAACGCGTTGTGAGCTCCAGAGCCGCCGAACAGGACTCGAACCTAACGTGTGACCCCACCAATGGATTCCTCGTTCGGAGAGCAATCCATTGGTGGGGTCACACGATCAGTTTGAGCCCTATTTAGCGACGCTGGTGCTCAAAACGCGTCTGGGATTTCGACCGCCCCCACCGTTCTCCAGGCAAATCCACTGAGCGATGCCTTACCTGCCCGCAGCCGCACGCGCCGCGACAAGATGGTGCCCGCGCTGGAGGAGGCGCGGCAGCGGTACGAGGTGGCGTGGACGTCGGCGCGGTACTCGTCCGCCGCGAAGGCGGGCAGGTGCAGCGACCCGTTGTGCAGCATGCGACGCAGCCGCGGGACGTCCGCCGCCACCGAGCCGTCGTCCAGCAGCCAGCTCAGCGTCTGCACAACAACAACAACAATTTTACGAATTGGCCCCCGGGGAAGGCAAGGCACTAGGTCGGTCGACTCTGTGAAACAGGTACACTTCACAAAACTCGTCCCTAATAACACACTTAAAAAAAATAATTTCGAATACAACTTGTTCTGATTGTAACTGGATTTTATTTCGAAAGTGTCGGGCCGGACGGTGGACACAGCACAGCGAAGTAACGCTGAGTACCCCGAGTGGCCGCCCGGAGATTCATCGCCACCTCCCTTGGCTGGCCGCCCGCCATGCTGCCACCCCACTGCAGCCTCGCACCTCCACACGGTACTTAGGCCCGGCACAAGTTTGAGCGGCGCATCGGGGGTTGTGCCACGGCAAGGAAGCGCAACCGGAGGGAAACTTTGAGAGTGGTGTGGCGCGGCCAGTCTCCGCCACGTCGAACAACCGGGTGTCTCTCTTTAAAATCGTAAACACATTCCGCTCTCACAAAATGCACGAATCAGAGGTCACTATCTCAAGCATTAAACACGCATATTTCTTCACAACTTGAAGCGTGAATAAAGTTCGTGCGGGGGGTACACCTCAAGTTTCCGGCCAGGCGGATGGTACTAAAAAGACGCGCCCCCCTTTTGCTGCTTTGGGGAAACCCTTGTGTACCCACCTAACTCAGCCAATTTTTGGCCCGATTTCGACGGGACAGGTCTCGTTCAACTCGGACTCGTGCGAAGCGCGGTGCGGGGGTTACATTGTGTACCCCCGTTACCCACCGGTCCCAGCTAACTCGGCCAATTTCGGGCCGATTTCAACGGGACGGTGTCGTTCAACTCGGACGATCGTGCGGTGCGAGTGCGGGGGTACACATTGTGTACCCACCATGTGTACCCACCGTGTACCCCCCATTTCGGGCCGCAGCCCCGGTTGCGACCACTCTTTTGGGAAAGGGTTATCAAGACAAGTTCAATGCGACCATAAAAAAATTTTTTGGACGCCCCCCCTTTTTTCCAATATACGGGTTTTGAAATCGATATTTTGGAAAAAGGGGGGTGCCCCAAGAAAATTTTTTAGGGTCGCATTGAACTTTCTTGATGAGACCTTTCAACGAGGGTCGCAACTGGGTCTGCGGCCCAAAAGGGGGGTACACGGTGGGTAAAACATGGTGGGTACCCCAAGTGTACCCACCGCACTCGCACCGAACTGACCGTCCGAGTTAAACGACACCTGTCCCGTTGAAATCGGAGGGAAATTGGCCGAGTTAGGCGGGTACACGGGGGTTTACCCGGCGGGTACACAAGGGAAACCCCACCGCACGCGCTTCGCACTGACCGTCCGAGTTGAACGAGCCCTGCCCCCGTCGAAATGGGGCCCGAAATTGGTGATTTAAAGGCGGGGGACACAATGTGTACCCATAGCAGCGAAAGGGGCTGCGTCGTTTCGATGTACCCATCCGCCTGGGGGAAAATTGGGGTTCCCCACCGCAATAAACGTGATAATTTGTTTAGCAGTGCCCTTTTCGGACCCTGCGGTGCGATGCAGGACGGCTCGCCACCGTGCCAACATCAAAGGGTCCGCCTTTACATGACAAGCCGCGCAGACGCACAGCTCCGGGCCAGAACGGCATTTACCCAAATGAAAACGCTTTAAATGCCGAAATCTGGGCGTCACACGGTGGCCGATAATGTGAACGTGACCCAGTCACAGTCGCACGACGCATCACTCACACACACACACACCCACACAGAGAGAGAGAGAGGGAATGCCTCTTGTGCCAAGAAGGCCCAGCCAGGTAAGGGACCAGGTTTCATTAAATGTCCGCACTTTATGGCTGACCCCGGCACACGTAAGTCCTGAATCTCTCCCCGCCGAGTGTCCCCCATCCATTGCCTCACCCATCCCTTTTCCCCCTCCCCCCTTTCCAGAGTCCCTGCCCGCTGCCAGTGACCCACCCCACCGGTGTCCTGCCAACGTCCTTTTTTTCATCCACCTCAAAAAAAATTAGACCCACTTACCGAAATTTTGGTTTCCACATATTTAATTTGACATTTAGGATGGATTTATGTGACTACCTTTGGTTGGACCTGGTTTTTGATCGTCTGGAGTTTTGCTGTGTTTTAACTTTAAAAAAAAAAAATCAGTCCCCTTTGCTGAAGCCTTTGCAGCGACCAAGGCTACACTTTCCACGGTACCTGAAACGAAGCACCTGTTTTCTCTACCTTGCCGCTGCCTCTGGTGGGCGGCCCCCCACTCCCGCTCCAGCGCGCTGACCCTTCCCTCTACTTTATTCGGGGCCTTTCCTTTTTTTCCAGTGGGCTCGCTTTGAATCGGCGTCACGGGCGCATCATTTATATTGGCCGGCTGGCAGAGTCATCAAATACGCACGTCAATGGCTGCGCTGTGCGGTGGGCCGGTGGGCCAGCACGGCCGCCAATTTTTCATGCCGCCTCACGTGAGGTCATGAAGACCGCCGTCGTCAGCGCGCGGGGCGGGGCCGAGCCCAGGGCACTGGGTCGTGCTGTACCTGCCAATTATACTGGCCTCCATCGCCATTACGCATCGAACAGCCGCAACCCCACGGCCCGGCCGCCTCTGGCCTGCCTGCCTTTGGCGCGGTCCACGTCCACCACCACACCGCAAAGTCCGATGGCCTCGTTCCTCTGGAGGCCGCACGAAGCGCAATGGTGGCAGCGGGTGACAGTGACATAAAATAGACGTCCCAAAGCCTGCCCATTTTCACAAAAAAAAAAAACACTTTTTCGGGAAAGAAACCAACCCGTGGGTTTCTTGCGGGTAAAAAAGGCCATCCACCTCGAAATTGAGCACGTAAACATACAAGGAAGACGGCCGGGCCGATCCAGCGGCGCGGCCGTCGCCACGTCCTCCCCCGGGGTTGCGTGGATCCATCTTGCGGGACTTCATCTCGAGCAACTGGTCCGCCCCAAACGACGCGCATGCGACCGAAATTTTGACAAGGCGGTTTATGAACGGACGACGCCTGGGCGCGCGCGGCACAACGCGCCAGGGGCACGGCGCCGGGGCCCCTGCGGGAAATCCCTGGCTCAAGCCCCAAAAGTGGAGGGTGGGGGAGGTGAGCCGAGGCAGGCCAAGGCGCGCTCCTCTCAGTTTTTCATAACCTGCCCCGTAATGAAAGGATAAGAGGTGGCAGCGGGCTGATGCGGGTCGTGGTTGCCCGAGGGGGCACACTGTCGCGTGCTCCGCCGTATTTCACGGAGTACACGCGCTGTGTTCCCTCGGCGTTTTCCACGCCTTTGCCGGCAGTGCGCTCCTCGGCCATTCTTCACATCGCCAACCCTTGCCTGATCAAACAGCCGGACCCTCCAGGCGCCCCAGCCGCTCCAGCCACGAGGCCTCTGGCGGGGTCGAGGCCGCGGCCCGGCGTGATAATCTCCAGTGGAAACAAGCCACGTCTCGTCACCTCTGGCGCCGCCCAACGCCGCAACCTCTCCCCGTCCCTGTCCCACCTGTGAGGTAATCCACCGCGGTGATTGTTTTCTCTGTTGTAATGACGCTGGCACACTACTCCGGCCCTGGCGCGAGTCGACGGGAATGCGCGCGAGCATTGAGGAACGACTTTCAACTGATAGGCGGACAAAGGTTGTGGGAACTCACAACCCCTTTTCCTTTCCATGCTTCTGTCTGAGGAACCATGACGAAACTCCACAACAGTAACAACAAAACCTACGTTGAAAAACTAATACTCACCGGCGGCGGGTCCCCGTGGGCGGCGCACAGCACCGTGACCCCCGAGCTGTTGGAGAAGTCCACCTTGTTGGCCGGCTCCTGGATGAACACGGGGCCCGAGCCCTGCTGCGACCCCTGGCCGGCCGACACGCCACCCCCGCGAGCTGGAACAGGAAGGTTTCAATCAGAAAGCATCGCCGCGTTTTAGGAAGAGAGAGAAAAAAGGACGAAAAAAGGTTCTTTGTTTTTATTTGGGGCCGCGTCGGGGCGTTCCGGAAAATCCGAGGAGGAGGCCTTCACTGGGCACGATCAAAATTTAATATCTTCGGGGAACGTCGTCGCGCATGGCGGGGGCGTTCGGGGCGGGGGCTATCATAGCGGCTTTACGGTGGCAGTTTGGACACATTTGCATGCCACCGGCATCACCGCACTTTCTTTCCGCCATCACTCGGTCGCGCGGTGCTTCGACTGGCCCTCGGCCTCAGTGATAGGCACAAAGAGGCTCGTACGTCGGGGAGCGCAGGAACAGAGTTGATTTCGTCCGGAGAGGCGGAGCCGGGGAATCTGTGCCCAGTCTGTTCAGCCGGCTGCCAAGCTGCCGGCGACAAGCAGCAGCAAATACGGACCAGCTGGCACCACTCTAGGACCTCCCCTTTCCGTTCAACCAGCTCCACACACACGCACACACATCAAGGAAGCCACCGGCACGCCTAAACACAGCCGCTGCGGAATTGTGCCCCTTCTTCATTTATCACCCAACTAGCATTCTGCTTGACTAGCCTTAAAGTAAATAGCATTCTGCTTGACTAGCCTTAAAGTAAACTCCTCCTGCGGTTGACATGTGAATCACTTTACAGCCCCCCTCCTCGTGGAACGCCAAGAATAAGACCTTTGTGTCAGATTTCCCCGGAGCGCAGAAAAGGGGTACAGCCCACACAACGCATGATTAGGTCAGGGTATGGCTGCGGAGTGGGGGTCGGGGAGCAAGGCAGGAACAGCTTGCGGTTTTCCTCCGAGCGACACGGACAAACATAAATATCCGCCAGGGCCAGGCTCCCCGTCTACGCCCCTATCAATCAGTGGCGAAACCGCAGGCTGCAGTTCCAAACTGTGTAGTCAATGCAGGCGACCGCGGAAGCGCTGGGCGAGGCGCCGGCATCACACCCTCGTCTAAATGCAAAGATATTTGCTTCCCGCACGGCGGCGCGGGAAGCGCGTTTGAGGTTATCCGAGACGACACAATCCGGGCCGGAAATCAGCGAGGGCTTTCATTTGCCGCTACTTGCTCCGGCGTGCGTGCCTCCTCTCTTCAAAAGCAATATGCGGTTTTACACATTTTTCCATGCATCACAAGGGAATAGGTCGCGAACCACGCGCCGTGGCTCTTACCCTTCTCCGATAATTTTGCGAGCGGTGGAGCGCGGAATTCTACTTGAATCCAGCGCTCGGCGGCATCATTGACGAGTCAGCGCACAATCCCAACACGCTCTCGACGTAGATATTAAAACGGCGGGTCGCATACCTTACACGGCTAGAGTAGACCGCGCTCCGTGCGCAAACACGCTTCCCTCTCTCTTCCCGACTCACACACAGAAATACACACGGAATAACCCCCGTCTCTGCTCGCTCTGTTTAGCAATAATATCGCAATGTCTGTCAAATGTAAAGTGACTTGCCGTCCTTTTGGACTTCCTTTGTACGTCCGCGGTGGACGAGTGGAAGAGACAACTCTGACAGTTATTGTGTTGCACTCAAAAAATACTGGTGTCTTTACTGCGAGCAACTTTCCACGTATTGAAAATTTGCTTTTTTGTGTGTATTTCTTGTGGGAGTGGGAACTAGTTCGAGAAGTGTCTCGTTTCTTCAAAAGTGGCCTTTGTTGACGATCGTCAAAACGTGTGGCACTGCTCAAACGAGAACAACTCGCTAAAACAAACAGCACTAGGCTACAGGCCGCACCTGCCCCGCGCTTGTTTGCCGCCTGCAATCCGGTGCAATCTAACGGCGCTTCAACGTCCATAAAATGTGAAATACGGCGGGCAATCTCTTTCCTTGAAATGCTTTTTGGAGCGCTCGGCTCGGACCGCGCCCCGCCGCCCCGCCCTTTCCATCATGCCCCTCTGCCGATAAGGAGCACCCAATATTGTATGTGAGTGTGCGAGCGGCGGAGAAAAACAACACGGGTGACCTTGGAGACAATGGGGGACATGCGGTGTTGGATTGCGAGGAAGCGGAGGGCTTTGTGGGGGACGGTGAAGTGAGCTGCTGCCACCGGAAGTACAAAGCAGTGTTGCCGTTCCCCATTGTTGCACTTCTCTATGGCAATAAGGCGAAGGTCCTTGCAGACCTGCGTCTCCAAGGCGCTAGTGTTCCCTCTGAGGCACTATCAGATAAACACGTTTCGCAGCGTCGTAGCGGGGCCGGTCTGCCTGATGAAAGTCTGACTGGGTGAGTGAGTGAGCGCGCCAGCTTTGGCGCTGGGGGGCGGGCCGGTGCTGTCGGGCTCCAGGTGAATGCGGAGGACGTTTCGAAAGCGAGAATGTCGGCGAATCCAAGTCACTGCCGGGGGACGGGCTGGGCCGAGCCCCTTGCCTGGCACTGCCTTGCCTCCGAGCCAACTAAATAGTCGTCCGCCAATTAGTTTTGCGCTTTGGATGCAGGGCTTTGCGAGCTGGGCCGGCCGGGCCCGGGCCGGGCCCCATGCCACCATTTCCTGTTTAATTACCATCCACCGACTCCTTCCCCCAGGCCAACCGGAAAAATGAAGTCATGCTGCCAGGGATACAAGTTGTGGATTTGTGTCCGTCTCTTGCTCTGCTCGTAGTCAACGAGGGACTTGCATCCGCTATGACGTTAATGTTGAAAACAGCTGCATTCCCAACCTCAATTCAAGTTTCAAAACCAATTTCTCCGCGATGGCACTGTCCCGCACAGGGAGTTGTTTTCCTTGCCGCGAAAACACGACAATCGGATCCATGATGTGTCTGTCTGTTTACCTGCGAGCGTCCCTGGGGCCAAGGGAAAGGGTGATAATTACTCGCCGGGTCACGGCACTGCGGCCACACGGCCAGGCCCGGCTCGCACCTCCATCACATCACGGTTTGTTTACGAGATGATTTGCGTGATGACCGCCCAGGGAGCGCCACACGTCACGGGCCGGCGTGAGCGAGGGAGGGGTAACGAGGGAGTGGAGTGTATGCCGAGGGCGGCGCCGGGAGGGGCCGGGCGGGGCGGAGCCTCCTCACAAGGCGGCGCGCAAACACGAGCCAACAACCCCCTGCATTTCCTGCAAGGGGCGGGGGAGAGGAAATTGCACAGTCCTTTCCCGACATTGAGACCCCGGGGGTCAGTGGGCTGACCGACCGGACTGGGGCTCCACTCGGAACGACGATGACGGAGGAAAAAACAAATAAGCTGTGATTTTTCCTCATAGGTGAGCCTTTTCCTCCAAAATGGCTTCGCAATCAATAGAGAAGTTCCCCTCCTCCAGACTTCCAGTGCCTTCGCCGCCGGTCCCCTCTGCTCCGTGCATCGTATTTGCCCGCCATCTCCGCAAACGTCTCTTGTTTTCCCTCGACGTCCTGTTGCGTCGCTCTGCCAAAGCCTCCGCACTGTCTGAACGAGGTCACTGTTATAACCTGCAGGCAGTCGGCGCGGCCGATGGAAAGGTAGGAGTACAGGGGCGACCAACTCAGAGTTTACGCGCGGTCCCGACACGGTTTGTTCCACTCTTTGAACATAAGTGTAATCGGGGGACAGCTCGAGAGGACACGTTTCATCTTTTACCGCCGCATAAGGAAACCGCGCTGTCCACGCGCGCGGTTTATGGCCGTCCCCTCTGTCTCGCCGGACCGCCGCGCCCCGGCGTGCCCCGCATGGACTCCCACATAAAAGCCCCGAACGGCCGCCCCCAAAGTTTGCGGCGTTGCGATATCGCCGAATCTTTTACAGCGTGTCCCTCCTTGCGCCGAACAGTGGGGGCGGCCGGATAAGGCTCGTGATGGCAACAGTAACAGCACTAGTGGACGCAGCCTGGAAGTAGCCGCCGATGGACATCGGGCACCGTAAGACGCTTGGAACAAATGAAGGGGTCCCTCGGATGCGTCATGGTGCTCGCTTAGCGTGGCCACACATACCCAGGCACGGAGCTCTAGTGCGCGTGTCACTGGGTGTACACTGCGTTTAAAAACCACACCCTACAAAACACAGATGAATATGGAGAAGCATGTCCTCGCGGCGGTGCACTGCAAAATCATCACGTGCACCCCACCATAAATAAAAGATTGCCCTGAGTGAGCCGAGGGCGGCAGAGGGCCCTCCCCTTCCGGCCCTTGCCCTATTCACCTGCAGCGCCTGCAGACCCTACAGGCCCTACAGGCCCTGCAGCAGCACGCCGGTCAGAAATCATAAATCGCGCGAAGACACGGCGTGACAAATAGCCGGCGACATTTTATTTGCCGTGTTCGCGGAAGAAACTGTCCGCGAAATGAAAATATGTACCTTCCGGGTGCAGGACCATTCCGTGGCGGTAGGGCCGTGCCGTGCTCTCCGAAAAAAAAAGTGGCAAAAAAATAGAGAGAATAAGAAAGGCGAGGACAATAATGCCGAGGGTCGTAGTAAAGAAAGGACGGCGGTGCGATTATATTCAATTTGGGGCACGCGGCGGTACGTCCACCACAATGCGCGAACACACGTCCGCGATGTGCTTCCTGGTGTTGTCGCGTCGCGGTGCGTCCTGCCGCGTCACGGCGTCACGGCCGCCTTAATGCATGCCAAGAGCGTCGAGTTGTCTAGTTCTGGTCACGTCCGGGGGGAGGATTTCCGCCAGGCCCCTTGCTTCGCAACTGCGCGACCCAGCCGCACCCTGCTCGCAAAGTCTCTGGCAAAGCCTGACACACTGCCTTTGCACCTCCTGAATTACAGGTTTTTCGTGTTTCTTCACATTTCGGCTCGTTTCTGTCCGCCGGCATGGACATGCCGTGTTACAAGAGACTCGACGTGTGCCTGTATGTAGAATGCCTGTTTGATTGTCACGCAGCCCCTCTCGATTTCGAATGCACTGTTTGTTCCTGGGACTGGGACGTATCATTGCAGTTGTCAGAAAGCCATCGCGGCCAGAAGTGCACTGCCTGTTTCCCTTCATAGCCGCCCGTTTGGACGCCGT